TACGACACTATCCTACCCGAAAGATCCTTTTTTGAAACATATGACCACTCTTATAACAACTTCATCAGTTTCGTTCGCCGTTGGATCTAGAACTACACACGACCTAATTACCGTAATACCAGAGATATGTAGGCAACTCAAGAACCATGGTTCGACCCCCATTTTTTCAAAACACATCATTCCTCACTCACTTCGGACAAAATTAGTCAACTCTTTCATCATTCCCGGGTAAAGAGGGGCAGCCGTTGATATCCAATTTTGCTCTCATATTTTTATAAATGTCATATATGCTTTGAATATCATTCTTGCACCATCACCAATTTACAAAGAGTCATACAAGTATTTTCTATAATTTTCCATAATTGATTTTCTTGCATCTAAATTGCTTAAATATTTACTAATTACCCTTTTAAATTATTTTAAGATGACTTAATCATCTAAATTTATTAATTGTATCCCCATATAGGTTTCATAATTTTATATAGTTATAGATGTATTTTTAGGCTATTTACATAATTTTGCAATAATAGCCTATAAGCTATGCATAATTACATTTTTTCACATCATTTGTGCCAAATAACATTTTTATATTTTTATAATGTTAAAACTATTATTTTAAAGCATTTTACTATATAAATTATATTTTATTATTTTGTTAATTACTTCTTATAAATTATTTTTTGATAAAGTTTTGTGTATTTAAATTATGGCCCATCTTTAATATAAATTTCAGGCCAAAAGCACGCCAAAATATTTGGCCCACTTCATTTTGCCTTCAACAGCCCAAACCAAAGGCTTTTATTACTCTAACCCGGACGGGACCTGACTGACCCGCCCCAACTCTCTCTTTAAAATCACAACCGTTGATCTCTCAAGATCAATGGCACACAACACCTCCCCCTTCTCTCCTTATAACTGCACAATCCCAAACCCTAACCCACTTTTTTCAACTGGCCATCCCTATACTCTATCAAACCTCCCCTCCCCTCACCTCACAAACCCTAGCCGCCACCCTAATTCTTCTCTGAATCCAACTCATCCATGGATTATTACCATGATTTACTTAACTTTTCTGGATTATACCACTATTACCTGTTTAAATATGGTGTTACTTAGTACTTGCCCATTTTTGGCAAGTACCTGTCTCTGAATCAAAGGAGATCGGCTTTACTCTCCAAGATTTGGACGATATTCCGTTCGTATACGTTCATAGCAAGGATATGAGGATTTGATTCACCAATATCTCTAGCCAATTTATGATCCTAGTCAACTTCTCCTAATCTGATTCTAAATTGATTTTTGCATGTTCTTCTTTTCTTGTTTATGTTTGATTGACTGTATTTCCTTATTTATGTGTTAATTTTTATTACATTACAAATCAATCTCCCAACTCCCCTAAGAGAGACTGTTGAATCGCAAAAACTACTATATTCCTCTAATTTGTTCTTGTCCTATACTATTCTGAGGCTTAATCTTTTGGCCGGCTAAAAACCAAGGCCACCGGAATTCAGTTTTTGAACCTTTTTCAGTGTGAGCACTGCCCGGGGTTCATTCGAAACCCTTGAAAACTTTGACGCACTGAGATTCCTAGGTTCTACTACTCGTTTTGCTATTGACATTGAAGTGTTGCTGAAATTACTCCCCTTGTTTACTTGTTCATCTATAACTGGTAATGTGGCTACGACTCTTGTAATTTTATTTTTTTTCTTCTCGTTTGAATTCCTGCTCTGTATATCTAAGTCTCTGAGAGTTTATGGACCAACGTGCTATTGTACGCTTTGAAGCTATTCTTTGAGGCTCTATGCCTTCTAGTAATCAAACTTGCCTAATTGCTGCCTTGGTTCTGTTTCTTCTTAAGTCTATTGGCTCTAATATGTGTGCTCGAATGTTTGTCACTATTGTTTGGTTTGAGTGTAGCATCTTGCCTGGTTTTGTACTCTTAGGATAAGTTGATTCATGCCCAGGACCTGTTCTGATTCCTGTTAAGGCATTTATATGCATATTAATAATGTTTTATAGTTAACTCCTGATTATGTTATTAGCCTACGCATGCTTTCCTTGCTACTTGTGGATTAATGCGTATCCCCTACCTTGTCCTGTACCTTTGTGATAAATCCATGCATGTGTTTCAGACCTGGTTAAGTCGTTCCTGTCCAACCTGCTGAATTCCTGATGTTATATTGGTTAGCTAAAGCCTGTCTTCATGCCATTTAATCTTTAATATATGTTTGGAACTTATGTAATCCTGTGCTTTTCAACACTGTCTGGGAGCTTAGGAAACCTCATAAATAGTCTCTCCTTTCCCATATAACCAACTAGTGTCAGGTTCAATACTAGCCTATCTTGATTCTGAAGATTGACATGCTTCTCGTATTATGATTAGTGCTCATCATGCTAAGATTTACCTGTTCCATTAAGCAGTCACTTGATAATGAGTTTTGCTCTGTTAAGTTGTTCTTTTCATTGGTTTTCTATGATGAACATTCTATGTGTTGGCTGTACTTTGTTTGCTTCTTGCTTGAATCTTCTAGACCTTCATCTAAGGTTACCTAGGTTGACTCTGAATCATGCTTCCTTATAGAAACTCTTTAGAATGGTTTATTATCCTATGTAGTCAAATAGGCCACTCTCAAACTTGTTACTAGAACTATGAGCATAAATTCGCCTTATATGTTTCTTGTATGCCTTCCAACTTATCATGATTTTGTTTATATACCTTGACCAGAGTTGCTGCTAGTTTTACTTTTAAGAATTGAGTGTTTAAGTTGTTCAATTAATTCTATGAGTCGTTTGTTACTCGTTTGGTCATGTTTGGCATCCATTTGGGTAAGTAAATTATTTCTTGGGTCTGGAAGGGGGCCATATGTGTTGTTGGAATCGATCACCGGATTCAAGGGCACTCTAGTTGTTTTCTTATGAGCATGTGGTTTGGGCCTGCTGCTTTGTCCGGGAGTAAGGCTATTGAAGGCCTGAGATATCCAGGTTACTTTGTATTGGGCCTGTGATTGCCTTAGCGGGATTGTACTTGTTTTAGTATATAGTTTGTCATCTTTAAGTAAGTATTATTTCATTCTGGGCCTGTAATGATTTGTAAGCTGAATGATGGGGAGATTAATAAAAGGGGACTGGGCTATTCTAATGCTTGCATAAAAGGGTAGAAAGTATGCATATAGATCTTTGTGTCCTATTTGCTATTTCGTTCAGCATGCCATATATGTTATTTTGTTTAATGTGCTGCACACTAATAGAAATCATGTCTATAGGAATCACGCATACACTTCACTTAACTTGTCAAACATGTTGGCTCAAGTAATTGCTATGCTTTTTTCCATGTGCACTACTACATGCTTTAGATAGCATGCCTATAGGATACAATAACACATGTTTGCTAATATCCATCTAGATACCATGTCTATAGGGTTTCAATTATTCAATCAATCGACTGCTTCTATTGCTCTTAGTACACTTCTCCTTTAGATATCATGACTATAGGATCTTAATCAACTAATCAATTACTTTGTTACTTCATCGCATTGCCACACTTAGACGACACGCCTATAGGGATAAAGTATATAAAATCAATTTAAGTTGTTAACTACTAGAAATCCTGCCTATAGGACACTATCGCCTACCTAAGAAACATGTCCGTAAAATCAACTTTGGTAATTCAGAGTTCTTGGATCGTTCCACTGCCTCATTAAGCAGATAACTAGAGATCATACCTATAGGTTTGTAATGCATTTAATTTGCAAAATCCGTTAGCCTAAAGTTGCAACGCTGCTTATACACTGCTAGAAATCAAAATCGCCTAGAAATTATGCTTATAGGACTTAACGACTATAATGCATCTTAATCTTGAAAACTGTCTATTGCTGAATCTACCCGCGTGCATCTGTTGTTTATGTGTGGAGGCTAACTTAGGCCTCTGATTGTCCTTATGTGAAGTCTTGATTATTTTGAATGTTGCCTAGTTTTATCATTTTGAGCAACCTAGGGGAAGTCTAGAATCACCCAAATAGAGATCTAAAGCCTCCTGGACCATAGGCGTGGGACGGGTAGTGCACGTATAGGGTCCGATTTAGAATTGAATTAGAGTGCCTTTAAGTAAACAACTTTAACATAGTAATTGGGTAGCAGGAGATGATAGTTTGTGCCCGTTGAATAATATGAGCAATCCCTTCCTTAAGGGGGTTGCGAAGTATTATTTATGTTGCACGGCGTGATCCTTTAGGCTAAAAAACTTAGGCCCCCTTTCTTTATGTACTTGTTATTCACACTTAGTCATTTAACATAGATCAATGTAGTCATTAAGATTTGCACTGATTCTCATGCGTTATAATAAAGCTCTTCGATTTCTAAATTTTCCTTTATTTATTTGATCACTTAGCCTTATTACATAATCATTATAGTTTAAAGTTCGGCCAGGACCTACAGTTGTGGACCTCGAAGAGTGCTTAACACCTTCTCTTTGAGGTAATATGAGCCCTTACCCGATCTTTGGTGACACAGACTAGTTAGACTGAGTTACTCACAAATAGGTGCGCTAACACACCTTAAACAATCATTAGGTAGCGACTCTTCTCTTTTAATACCTTCTTTAAAAGAGTTGTCATATGTCGAAACCCGCTTTCGCGAGAAAAAGGGGCGCGACAATCTTGTATGCCCATACATCCATCTTAGCATCCTCATTTCTGTTACTTTTATCTTCTGGACGTGGGTATTCTTAATAGGCCAACACTCTACCCCATATAGCATAGTAGGTCTAACCACCACTCTGTAAAACTTACCCTTAAGTCTAGGTGGCACCTTCTTAAGCGAGCCTCCATTTCATCCATTGTGCTCTAATACGACATGTGACATCCTCGTCAATCTCACCATTACCTTGTATAATAGATCCGAGGTACTTGAAACTCCCCTTTTTAGGGATGACATATGAATCCAGCTTCACTTCCACATCCGCATCATTTGTCACGTCTCTGAACTTGCACAAGTTCTATGTTTTATTTCTGCTCATCTTGAAACCTTTTTGACTCCAAGGTTTGTCTCCAAACCTTCAGCCTCGTGTTAACACCACTTCGCGCCTCGTCAATTAGTACTATATCATCTGCAAATAACATGTACCATGGAACCTCCTCTTGAATGTGACGCGTCAGAACGTCCATCACCAAGGCAAATAAAAATGGGCTAAGCGCGGATCCCTGATGCAAGCCCATCCCGATAGGGAAGTGTTCCGAGTCCCCTCCCATTATTCTAACCCGGGTCCTAACGCCATCATACATATCCTGGATCACCCTAGTATAAGCTATGGGCATACCTCTAACCTCCAAATACCTCCAAAGAACCTCCCTCAGAACCTTGTCATAAGCTTTCTCTAGGTCAATAGACACCATGTGCAAGTCCTTCTTCCTATCCCTATACTGCTCCACTAGTCTCTCGATAAGGTGAATGACTTTTGTAGCCGATCGCCCTGGCATGGATCCGAATTGATTCTCGAATACACTACTCCTTACCCTAACTTCCACCACCCTCTTCCAAACTTTCATGGTGTGACTTAGCAGCTTGATGCCCCTATAATTAGTTGAAATTTTGGATATCCCCCTTATTTTTGTACACCAGAATCATTGTACTCCACCTCCATTCTCCAGTCATCTTCTTCGTCTTATAAATTACATTGAACAACCTAGTAAGCCACTCTAAGCCTACTCTGTATGCAGTCTTCCAAATTCCACTGGGATCTCATCTAGCCCGGTCGCTCTACCTCTGCTCATCGTGCGCATAGCCCCTACAATCTCTTCAACCTTGATACAACTACAATACCCAAAATCACGACGACTCTCGGAGAACTCCAAGTCCCCCAGCACGATGTCCCTATTCCCTTCACATTCAAGAGTCCTTGAAAGTACATCCTCCATCTACGTCTAATAAGTGCATCATCCACCAATACCTTGCCATCATTGTCTTTGATGCACTTTACTTGGTCTTGGTCACGAGCCTTTTTCTCTCTCATCTTGGATAGCCTGTACAACTTCTTGTACCCACCTATGGCCCCCGGTTCTTCATACAACCATTCAAACGCTGCATTCTTAGCCTCTGTAGCGGATAGTTTCACCTCCTTCTTAGCTTTATTATACCATTCCCTATTCATACTCCTTTCTTCCTCGTCTTTGCTCTCCACTAGCTTCAAATACACTGCTTTCTTGGCTTCAACTTTATCTTGGACTTGTCCATTCCACCACTAGTACCCTTTGATGACGTCTAAATCTACTACTAAAAAGTAAATGGACACGGTTTCATGTAATATAATTTACCCAACTATGAGTCGGGGTTGAATCTCACAGAGAATAATATGTAGGCAATTAGGGGTGTAAGAGAATTATCACTTATTATGCTAAGCCAAACACTTAGAATGGTTTTGAGAAAATATTTATAACTAATTACGAAAATATAAACTAACCTAGAAAGCAAATAAAATGATCAATGGCTATAAGCATGGATGCATTGGGAATTACACTCAAGTAACGATCCAATATATTTTACGATTTTACAACTATGAGCGAGTTTATGTTAATTAGCCTCAGGTAATAATTTTATATTAGCTTCTTCCGAAGACTAACAAGACTTCCTAATTGAATTATTCCTAAAACAATTAAGAGATTAAGCTGACCCGAATATGGCTACAAGTAGTTCAATCCTATCCCTAGGTACAATCTATAAAGTGAGGGTTAACGCCTCAAGTTCTTGTTAATTAATCTTTCCCAACCCCAAATTATCTTTCCCAAAATTAATTCGAAGTGAATGGGCGAGTCCTAGGGTTAGCTAATCCCTTTGGAAACATTAAAGAACAAGAATAATTAAAGAAACAATAACTCACTTCATAATAAATAAAAATCATTCAATACATAAGCACAACAAAATATTTAATCCACACTTTAAATATGAATATTCCCATAAACAAGATTTAAGTATTGGAAAAAATACTACACACTTAGATATTCAATACAAAGCAAGAAAATGAAGAAATGAACATAAATGAGCAAGAAATTGTCAACCAAAAGTTTCAAATCTTCAAGACCCAAGTGTGTGTGCAAGAACTCTAGCTCCAAAACTTGTGTTTTCTCTCAAGAGATGTTAAATATGTCCAGAGATATGCCAAAGATATTTTACAAATGAGCTAGGTCGTGTATTAAATGGCTTGGGGATAAGAATGTGAAATTCCATTTCTTCCCAGAATCTGCCCAGAAAATGTGCTATGCGATCGCATAGAGAGAACCGCGATCGCGATGAACAACGTCTGCAAAGCTACGCGATCGCCTAGAGACAGACGCGTTAGCGTAGAATGTTTGACCAGTGCTGACCAACTTTACTTCTTGGCGATCGCATGACTTCAACCGCGTTCACATAACTTCTTTTTCCTAGACTTTTGCGATCGCACAGAGCAATAACTGGCAGCAGTCCATTTTTCCCAATTTAACACATTTTGACTTGTTTTCTTCCGTATCTTCTCCAAATCATATGATACCTGAAATATGCCAATAAACCTCAATAAATATCTTAGTTTCTCAACAAAATCATACAAAAGTCTAAGTATCAAGAAGAGGTAAGATGGTATAATACCAACTTATCACCCTTTATGTCCATTAGGGTAACCCTTCGAGACCCCTAACACCTCTCTAGCAGCTTTCCGAATGCAATTTGCTGTCGAGGTACACATATTACTCGTGTCCCCGCTACTCCTCCAAGCCCCCATTGATTGCAACTTCTCCCCTAATTATAGGGCGATCTCCTTAGTCAAAGCTCCCCACTTGATCTTTGGTTGGCCACACGTGGCCCTCTTACTCCTCCTCTTAATCTTCAAGTCCATAACCAAGAGCCTATATTGGGTCACTATGTTCTTGCCCGGGATAACATTGCAATCGGAGCATAGACCTCTATCGCACCTTCTAAAGAGAAGATAATCAATCTGGGTCTTGGCCACCATACTACGAAAGGTGACTAAATGCTCCTCCCTCTTCTGGAAATACGAGTTAGCTTTAACAAAATTAAGAGCTATGGCAAAATCCAAAAGTGAAGTACCTCCTTCGTTTCTATCCCCAAAACTGAAGCCGCCATGCACTTCGTTGTACCCTCCAACAGATGCCCCAATATGGCCATTGAAATCTCCACCTATGTATAGCTTATCAAAGTGTGGAATCCCTCGTACAAACTCGTCCAGATTCTCCCAGAAGTGCCTTTTAACCTCCTCGCCCAAGCTCGCTTGAGGTGCATAAGTACTAATAATATGAATATTTCGTCCTCCAACAACTATCTTAATAGTCATTAGCCTATCATTCACCCGGCTCACATCTACCACTAAATCCCTGAGTTTCCTATCAACCAAAATACCTACCCCGTCCCTACCCCTTGCACCTCCTGAGTATCATAGTTTAAACCTATCTACATCCCGAGCCTTAGTACCCATCCATCTAGTATTCTGGACACAAGCTATATTGATCTTCCTATTCAGGAGAATCTTAGCTAACTCATTAGACTTCCCCGTCAATGTCCCTATATTCCAGGACCCTATTCATAACTTAGAAGTACCCTTGCCCCCTCGCCCCCCACTCCCCGCTCCACCCGAGAAAATGACCTTATTCTACCATTATTTACCACTACCACTATAGGAATATTAAGTAAGCCCTACCACAGTATAAGCTAATAGTCTAAATGAAATAAAAATGCCTAGAGCTTAAGGCACTAATTATAGGCCAAGTTAAGAAAAAATAAGTAAGTAATGTTCTTACTAAAGCACTAATTCGACTAAGCTAGACAAAGCAACAGGGGAAATATACAGAATACAAGAATTAGAAAGTAAGTACAAGCAAGCGTACAGAATACAAAAATCAGAAAGTAAGTACAAGCAAGCCAAGAACCTACACAGAATGGGTGCACCCTAAGGCTAAAAATACACCAATATACCCTAAAAATAAGCCAACAAGCACTGAACTATACGATGGTAATTTATGCACTTTGCAAGAAACAAGACAAAAAAAATCAGAAAGCAAGTAAGAGCAAGACAGAAAAAATCAGAAAGCAAGTAAGAGCAAGATAAAAACCAACACAGAATGGGTGCCCCTTAAGGTTAATAATACACCAATCTACCCTACAAATAAGCCAACAAGCATTGAACTATACTATGGAATTTTGTGCACTTTGCAAGAAACAAGACAAAAGGAAATTCAGCGGGCCGGAGGTACTAACTCCGGAAGAAAAGAACCTAGTTATGGTCTGCAACGTCGTATCATTGCTGGACACCTGGCTTTGCCCATGCTGCCACGTGCCTCTTCTGCCGCTAGCCTTCGCCGACGCATGTGCCTCACACACTTTTTCTCCGGTATCTTTGGAACATGGGACTCTTGGGGACACAACTGCATGAGCAATAGCCAAGGATGGAAGGGAGAATAAAAGAAAAGGAAAAGAAGAAGAAGATGAGGCATCACAAATCTGAAGGCGCCTGCAACCTTTAAGATGGAAGGAAGAGAGAATAGAGATAGAGGGAAGAAAGAGAAAATGGGAGAGAAGGAACAGAGAGAAGAGGGGAGGGAGGAGAGAGAGGAGCAAATAGATAAAAGAAGGGGAGCACTTACCTGGGTTTTCTGTCGGGCCGCCCGTGGTGGCGCAAGAGGGGGGAGGGGAGTGGCTGTAAAACGGCGGTGGTGNTGTTGGAATTCATTTTCGTCCCCAAGAGGTCCTCTCCCCCTTTTCTAAATTATTTTTTTTCCATTGGAGCCCACAAGGGCCCACAAAAGGCACGTGTTACCATTTTTCTTTAAAAACAAATGCAAGATTGAAGGTATATTTGTGGCATAAAATAAGATTTTAGGTCGAATTGGAAGAAAAGGAGGTCCAAATTCACATTCAAACTTTTCAAAATATTACAAAATATAAGTATTTCACAAAAATAAATTTCGTATAAATTGTATACATTATGTGTATTACGTGTAATTCGTGTTTTTTTACTAATTGCTTTTTTAAAATTCTAGAAATTTTAAAAAAATCGAGTTTTTTTAATTCTAGAATTAAAAAAGAGTATTATTTGTAATTATGTGTAATTTGTGATGTTTGGTGGTATTTATCATTTTTTTTCATTTTTGTAATTTATGCAGAATTTATGATATTTATTGATTTTGTTGAAAATATTTTAATTGGAGAAAGTTCTGAATTTTTTGTTTATTAATAATATTGAATTTACTTTGTGTAATTAAATGTAAACAATTATATGTTAAATGCTAAATAATTATTTGTTTGCTTGCCATAAAAGTAGTCCTTTGTTGTATTTCGGTTGTTGAACTACAAGTATGATCATATAATGATTAATTAAAACACGATAAATTAAACTAGTAAAATATTGTAAGTTTCTTTGACCGGCGAATAAAAATTTGAATAGTTGTCAGTACAAATGAGACTCTACTGAATTTTTATCATTAAATCTAAAAAATGAACGGATAAATCATTATGAATTAAATAAACGATAAATAATGCGTCATATCAAATAAATAAATAAAAAACTTAATATATTCGAATATGTTAAACAAGTAAAATATTGTAGGGTTCTTTTATTGATGAATAAAAAATTGAATAGTTGTTAGTACAAAGGAGACTCTGCTCAATTTTCATCGTTAAATCTAAAAATTAAACGTATAAACTGTTATGAATTAAATAAACGATAAATAATACTTCATATCAAATTAATTAATAAAAACATTTCAAGATATCCCGATAAGTTAAACAACTAAAATACTGTAGGGTTCTTTGATTGACAGATAGAATGTAAATAGTTGTCAGTACAAAGGAGACTGCCGAATTTTTATTGCTAAATCTAAATAACTAACGTATAAACCGTTATGAATTAAATAAACTATACATAATACTTCATATCAAATTAATTAATAAAAAAATTTCAAGATAACTTATTAATAGTTATGAATTAAATAAAGGATAAATAATACTTCGTACACTTAGGTAATACTCCTTACAATCTCAAACAACGGTAATAAATAAATCTTTTGTTATGAAAAAATTAAGATAACTTCATACGTTTAATTAACATTATTCAATGTATAAACATCATCATGGATCGTCTGACTGTTCATCCCGGACCCGTTTCACATGAGCTAGTTATGCTACAGGTGGGCCATAGATCTTTGCGTATATGGGATGAAGATTTACTTAGTTAGAACTTCCGCCCCCGATGTATTAATAATTTTTGGGAGCTCATCAACGAGCACCCACTACATCACCGCACTGTCGCGTGCCTGACTCGGACTGCTTTTTACCGAGTTGTAAAGGTCGACCAGTTACAGTTCGACTGGCCATTGACTATGGCTGCATTGGCGAGAAGTTGTGTCCTTGCTCCTCACTAAACTGTGGAGATACGTTCAGATCAGGCCAGACTCTTACATGCGGAACCTGTTATGATAAAACAGCTCCAAAAACACCTCTAGATGGTTGAGTGTTAGCCGTATTTTGCGGAACATTAGTCCGGTTGACGTCTTCAGACTTTACATATATTTCTAGCATGCTTATCATAAGAAAATCCCTGTGTTCATCCAGAGTCTTTAACAAATCTTGTAGATTTTTATCATTATTGATGTTAAACTCGGCAAAACAAGCCACACCTTATGGAGTAAGCGAATACAGATATATTCCAGTTACCTTAAGATTCATCGAACCTTTACTCACACTTATTCTTTTACAAATCAGAGATACCAATGTGTGGTACTCCAATATGAGTGGCAACTTAACAATACTTTATGGAGAAAAACTATAGTGTACCAAGTTATTCTCTACCACAGTCTCGCTGCCCCAGTATAACGTAACCCTAACTCTTTGCTCATTGATCATTGTAGAAAGATTCAAAGGGAACTTTGTATAGATTGATGAAGATGAAGAGAAATATAAATGATGTTGAAGAACAAAGGCAAATTGGCTCAAATTTACTCAAGAATAATTTCTTCAAGAATGGACGTCCGACTTAAGTAAGAAACTATAAGTGCCTTTGGCACCTGAAAAATATGCATATGATAGGTGCTTTGTCGTACAATTATCAGAGTTGTGATTTAACAAGTTAGAAAAAATGAGCATATAGTGCACGTATTACATGCGCTATATCGATGAATTATCATGGCAGTAATTCGGATAACTAGAATATTTGGATAGGGAAAAAGGAAGTGTATAGTGCATGAATTATATGCGCTATATATAAATTGGTTCAGCCTTTTTTTGCACCTATTTTGATTTCCTGACCCCAAAAAAAGTGTTACCTTGGTTCCGGAATTGATTCTCAAATCCAAAGGTCTTTTGTCTCTCGCGTGCAAGGTGATTTTATTTAAAGCACTTCTTATGCAATGCCTTTCTATTTTTATGACTAGAAATTCTTTCTTTATTTTTATACGAAATTATTTTCTAGACTTTTAATCACTCTGAGTTAATTGTAAAATAATATACATGTTTACCCTTAAAACGGATAGCAATTAAATTTGTACGCGATTTTTAGGACATATGGGTTGATTCAACACAAATAATCAAGAATGTTGGATAAACGAGTTAAAGACAAAATAGACAATCAAACCAGTCGAAATGTTACGGACTAGCTCGAACATAGGTTCAACAGTGATTTTGCCCTCGATCAGACCCTTGGTTCGAAGCCAATTATGAATGAAGAATAACAATAAAGTAAGAACTGTGCAATAGCCAGAAAGCAAAAAAATGAATACGTATTGCCTTGGTATGCATGTTACAATGTGTGTTATCAAAGAAAAAACTTCTCCTTTATATAGTAGGAGAGTTTCATACCTAGTACAAGTCTAAAAAAGGTAAAAATCTTCCTTTCGCGTTAATTACTGATCAGTAACCGTCATCGAGCGAGATCCGCACCGTCATATCCGGTCGGTTGTGGATATCACGACCCTCTATCTATAACCGTTCATTGTATTTTCCTGTCACGCCCCGATCTCGGGGAGTGCGACCGACGCTCAACCGAGATAACCCGGTCAAGCAAGCCTATACAATGCCTTTTACCCAAACTTATCCGTGTTCAAAGAGAAGATATATTTCATTAATTAGACAATGAGAAGGTTACATGAACCGTCTAAATTTCATTACCCTTAGTTACATCATTAACAAGTTTCAAAATACATACACTTTCATAGTTTGAAGTGGAACATGTGATACAAATACAACATTTTTAGTTTGACTTTCCCAAAACAAAGGTACCACCCACACTATGTCTACGGAGCCTCTAATAGATATAAAAGAGTAGCATGATGTTGCCAGCAACAA